CGTTGTCCTTCTATCATCAAAATAAGTCTTATTCTATATAAAAATATGTACAATCCCGCAAATCTTGCGGATCCGCGGGTCTGATGGTCTCAATCTTGCGGAATTGCAAGATCATCTTTTGGGTGCTGGATTGCATTCCATAGTTGCAAGTCGTGGATTCAAATTAAAGCCGGCACTATAAGGCCGGCCACTTACATATGAAATTCCGTCTTGAGATTAATGAACGGGCCGCCCACATACATACCGAATCCCGTTTTGTCCGCAAAATTTCGAACTTAAAAATACCGTAGGTGTGTGATGGGTCATTGATTTTATATGGACTTGTTGCGTTCGGAATCCCGAATCGGAATTCCAAAACGGAATCTCGAAACGGAATTCCGTATGTAACCGGCCTTAATTGTAAATGAAACAAAAGTTGTCTGTTTCCAAGTTTGGTTGAGATTTCTTTTCGTGCTTTTGTTATAAGGTTAACACCTTATAACATCAGCAATAAGTTGGTACGAGTGAAAGATTGATTCCGTGTGTACACTTTCTGTTTTACTATAATGTTTTGCGAGTTTTATAACCAGCGAACAACTGACAGTGTTCACCATCAACATTATTATCCTAGTGTTGCGCGGCTAAGTTGACATCTGGCACTAGCGCCATCTAGTGTCGGGTAACGGAGCGAGGGGAGAGCTTTCCAGAAAATGACATCACTAATCTTTCAACCGACGGCGCCATCTGTTGTCGAAACGAAGAACTAACCTTCTGGAAGCTGACTCTCGAACTTTCGGCGCTTTGTCGATTGGTGCGCGTATTTACTTGAATGTTCTGGATGATTCGGTACTAATGTGTATTTATAGGTGCTGCAAGGTGCGATCGGGGAGTATTGAATTTAGCGAGACAAGCGAAGCTTCGGAGCGGAATAAAGTGAATTAGTGTGCTTAATTATTAGTGTTTTTAACTTTAATTTGTGTAAAGTAAATTAAAGTGTTAATTTAGGTAATTCTATCGGCAATTTTTATTGTCACGAACCTCAAGCTCGTAACAATTGGTGTCAGAAGTGGGATAAAATCATGCCGATTTTACCTAAGGAGGAAACGGAGGGTGTCCGTACCCGAAATCAACGCCAGCAGGAGACGGACCAAAGAATATTTGGTGGTGCAACGCCGCAGACGTCGGAGGGCCAGCCGCCTGCTGCAGGCCCGTCAGTAGCTCCTACATCTACAGCACCTGATTTAGGTGCTCTGATGGTAATGCTGCAGGAACAGGCTCGCTGACAGCAGGAACAGGCCCGCCGACAGGAAGAACAGGTCCGTTAGTTGAAAGAGCAGCTGTAGAGCGGACAGGATGAACAGGCCCGCCGACAGGAGGAACAGGTCAGTCGTTTGGAAGAGCAGCTGCGGGGCGGACAAGAAGTACAGGCCCGTCGGTTGGAAGAGCAGATGCTCCTCATGAAGGACCTTCACGCTACCTTCGGGAAGGAGATAAACGAGGTGAAGGATAAGGTTGCTCAGCATGATAACCGCCTGTCGGAAGCTGAAACCCAAATCGCGAAAGCTGAAACCCGATTCGAGAAAGCTGAAACCCGAATCGACCAAGTAAACAATCGGGTTGACAACGTGATGGCTGACGTGAAGAAAACGCTGGATGACCTCAAACTGGGGGATGGAATTACATCTCCCGTAGTAGCTGCAACACCTTGGCTACGTGGGTTCAAGGTGCCACCGTTCGACGGGACTTCTTCCTGGTTCGAAGCTGTTATGAAGGCGAACGGCTGGAATAAAAGTCAGGCCATGACTGCTCTCACACTAGGCCTGCGCGACCAGGCCTTAGCAGTTCTGGAAGCTCTCGGTGAGGAAGTGACTTATGAGCAACTCCTTGAGGCATTGGAGGCGAGATATGACGACGCTCACCTGGAACACGTCTTTCGTGCGCAGCTTAAAGATCGCGTGCAGCGTATCAACGAAAACCTGCAGCAGTGGGCTCTAGAGGTGGAGAAGCTGATGCGGAAAGCATATCGATCTGTACCTGCGCTCATTGAAGGGAACCTGGTGCAGACATTCATCGACGGCATCCGCGACCTGGAAGTCAGAGCTGCTGTGAGGCTCGGGCACCACGAGACGCTTAAGAACGCCTTAGCCCGTGCACTGGAGGTAGGAGCCGTGCGGCAGGATCATCGTTCCCATCGCGTCAGGGAGATCGCAGCAGCTACAGTTCGCGATCGCAACAAAGGATTCAGCCCTAGGTGCTATGGCTACGGGGAAAAGGGCCATCTACGATCCAGCTGCCCTAAGCGAACTGTAGAAAGGGAAGTTGATCGATCTCGAGAGGGTAGTGCAGCTGACGGCACCGCCTGGCGGTGGCAGCAACATCATTCTCCTCACGCTAGGGAGGTTGCAGCAGTTCGCGACCACAATAAAGGATACAGCCCTAGGTGCTATGGCTGTGGGGAAAGGGGCCATCTTCGATCCAGCTGTCCTAAGTGAACCCTAGAAAGGGAAGGTGAACGATCTCTCGAAGGGAAGTGCGGCTAACATCATCGCCGGCTGCTGCTACCTGCTGGGCCACCGCCCAGCAGCAGCCGGGATACGACTTTACTATCAGACATCGCAGCGTGAAATCTCATGGCAACGCAGATGCATCGTCAAGAAGACCTTATCCTGAAGATCGGAAACATTGTACTAGGCAAGAGAGTAAGGAAGTGGTATCCGTGAGGATGCTCAGGACAGACCACCTCAGCAACGAGTGGAAGGACAGCCTACGATATGCACAGCAGGAAGATCCGGACATTAAGCCGATTCTGGAATGGATGAAGGCCCGTGCTACCAAGCCTAAGTGGAGCGACGTCTCAGCGATGAGTCCAACCACGAAAAGCTATTGGGCCCAATGGGACAGCTTGCTGATTCAGGATGGAGTCCTGTGCCGTAAATGGGACAATTGTCGAGGAGACAGCTGTCGTTTGCAAATGGTTGTCCCTAAAGCTAAAGTGCCGAATGTTCTACAGCTGTGCCATAATGGTCGTTCAAGAGTCCATCTGGGAGTTAAACGAACTCTGCTGAAGGTCCGAGAACAGTTTTACTGGGTCCATTATCGTGACGATGTCGTGGCTTGGTGTCGTACATGTACAAGTTGTGCGGCCGTGAGAGGACCTCAGACACGTAGTAGAGGAGCACCGAAATTGTACAATGTTGGTGCACCATGGGATAGGACAGCCCTTGACATTGCGGAGCCGTTACAGAAAGGCGCAAGAGGGACTCCTAAGATCGTCCATGTGGATCGCCTGGCGCGTTATTATGGGGCCGATAATGCTCGGGACGAGCATGTCTTAGGAGGGGGCAGTGTTGCGCGGCTAAGTTGACATCTGGCACTAGCGCCATCTAGTGTCGGGTAACGGAGCGAGGGGAGAGCTTTCCAGAAAATGACATCACTAATCTTTCAACCGACAGCACCATCTGTTGTCGAAACGAAGAACTAAGCTTCTGGTAGCTGATTCTCGAACTTTCGGCGCTTTGTCCATTGGTGCGCGTATTTACTTGAATATTCTGGATGATTCGGTACTAATGTGTATTTATAGGTGCTGCAAGGTGCGATCGGGGGAAGTATTGAATTTGGCGAGACAAGCGAAGCTTCGGAGCGGAATAAAGTGAATTAGTGTGCTTAATTATTAGTGTTTTAAGTTTTAATTTGTGTAAAGAAAATTAAAGTGTTAATTTAGGTAATTCTATCGGCAATTTTTATTGTCACGAACCTCAAGCTCGTAACACTAGTATTGCTTATCGATAGTGGTGTGTACTATAATGGCGTTGTATCTACCATCTTATAGCGTCCCGTGGGTGTTGTAAGAGGTGCAGATGGAAACAAACCACGATATGGGCAGCAGCATACTCCTAAAAACAACTGGAATTAATAAAAAACTACGGTTGCCAAGTCGTTTGTCAAACGTGGCAGCCATGGTGAGGCCTATGATAAGCATTGGATTTTTATAGGTCGTTATGGGTGGATGGATTGTTTATCGATACTTAAAAATTGTGATGTAGCTCTGTGTGGCTGTGTGCACATCATAGAATACTATAATACATACATAATAGAACGGGGGAGTGGGCGGAGCCCGTGAAGCCACCAAAATGTCAATTCACACGTATAAATGTCAACACGAGATGTATTTTGACGTAACAATCGTTTCCATATTTCGCGTGCAAATTATTTAGAAAGTACCAAATTGTACACTATTTACATATAAATATGTATTAAAATTTAGACGATTTTTATGATGATTTTGAACATTAATCAAAAGTCTAAAATATTTAAATTTACTCAGTATGTCAACACAGCGAATCGGATTTGTAGTAGTTATAATACGACGTAATTGCTTGTATGTGTGCTGCCAGTGACGCTGGTTCTCGTACAAAATAAGGTTAACAGCCATTCTATTGTGTATTATGTGGCTGTGTATTTTACGTGAACTAAACGAAAATTATGTGAAGGAGCGAAACGACCTTAAAATGGCAGCGCTCTCTTCCCACTCAACGTTACGTAAATTGTTTGATTTTTTTTAGCTATCTAGTGGTGTAATTAAATTTTGGATGCAAATAATAGATGTGTAGCTGCTATAACAAAACGTATCCACGGATTTTGTCATCACCAGTTTTCTAAATTGCCTACCACTATCGAAGCAAATTTAAAGACATATTTACATTAAAAACATTTAACAAAAGAATTTTAATAAGGAATTCTTACATTTACGTGGAAATTACGCATTGAATAGAAAGTATTATAACGGATTTTGTTGCGTTTAATTTTATTTATTTTTAATTTCCGACATTTCGGGCACTTTGCAGCACCTATGGTGGCTACACCATGTTCACGACATCGTCGTGAAAACGTCTAAAAAATAAAAATTAGTAATATTAAACGTGATTAAATCCGTAATAATAGTTTTATACAATAGTGTTATTGTATCTTCTTTGGTGTAATGTAATGTAGCGTATTGATTTGCTTACGAGGACGTGGACGTTATGTCGGAGCGGCTATTCGCGGAGCTGCGGCGCCACTTCTACTCTACGCCCAGCAGCTACCTGGACCTGCTACAGCTCTACATGTCGTTGCTTGATACTAAGCGTCATGAGATCATCTGCGGACGCGACCGCATCTCCTGCGGACTAGAGGTACGTGGCTGTTCACTCTCTTCTCAACACATCTTTTAAACGCCCTTTATATAAGTATTACTACTCATCATCATCATTACAACCCTTCACAAGTCCACTGTTGAACATAAAGCTCCCCTAAGTAATGTCACAAAGCACGTTCCTGAGCCACCACCATGTCTAACCAGATTGTCATTTAAACTAGTGGTTGTTACTATTACAGGTAACGATAATCATCTATAAATGCGACATTAACAAAAGTACTCAAATAGCAACTTCACATAGAGATGCGAACTGATGAGAGCTATCAAAATTCTACTGCTGAATATAGACCTCGCCCGTAGAAGCCTCGCTCATAGTAATTATTGTCGCGCGCCACAATTAATGCCTGGTACATGGCGACACTAGTTACCATTAGCGCCATCTAGTATCGAGTAGCAGAACTAGGAGAGTCAAGATCCTTCTTAAAATTTCCATGGAAGAACTTTCTAGAACTATCAACTCCTATTTATTCAGTCGGGGCCGGTATGTACTCAAACATTCTAGATTTTTCTACAGTAGAAGGTTCTGGAATTATCCGAGGCCCTATTTTTGCCGAATTGGCGATGAAATGATATTAAATTAAATATTTATTGTTAAGACATATTACATCGAAGCGATACAACTTCGAACTAAAGTGATCAGTAGTACATTTGCGTTTCGTTATTAGTGAGGTTTTAAGTTGTAATTAGTGTTCTGTAATTAAAGTGTCAATTTTGGTAATTCACTCGGTAGCATTAATTGTCTCGAACCTCAAGCTCGTAACACTATATTTGCGATGTTTATCACTTTTGATTGGCAACCGAAATTTTTTTATAACTTTGAGCAATTAACTGGAACATACTACTGCTCATATCCTATTTCAGTTTCCCTTTTTCGCCGCTTGCAACACTAATAAGATAATATCTTACGTGGTAGAGCCACGCTGCAACTTGATTTACTATTTACTGTATACTGTTTTCTAAAACCAGATTGTACGCTTGAAACGATGTTATTCAAGTTTAAGAAATGCGTCAGTTGATAATCATCGTACATCTCGAGAAAAACGTCTGGAACGTTTTTCTCGAGATGTATTGTCAGCAAACAATACAATGTCACGTAGGTAATTCATTGAGTCTTGTGGAATGCCTTTTTTATATTAATCCTTTGAGTTATTAGATGTTAGAAGATGTTGCTGCTCAACTTCTGTTTTAGTTTTCCTTTGGCACTTTTTACGACACATACGAATTGAAATGGGCTAATATATATTGTCATGCCGATGCTACAATACTGAGAGCAGTAGCTGTGTATATTGTAGAGTAGTGTGTGTCAGTAGATGATAACGGTTGTGTATGTGGGTGGAGAAACTGCTAGGCGCGTTCTCGTCGGTGGGCGTGATGGAGGCGGCGGTGCGTGAGATGGAGCCACTGCTGGCGCGCAAGGCGAGCGAGGCCACGGAGCTGGCGGCGCGCCTGCGCGATGAGCAGCGTGCTGCCGACCACGTGCGCAACGCGCTACTCGCCGACGAGGCAGCCGCCAAGGTATCGCACACACACTAGCGCACACGCACACATCGCACTAACACTAGATACTCCACACCGAATTCCGGTCACGCCATCCATCTGAATAAAGACTGGCCATCAGAGCAAAACACGATTATAGATGCATGCGCAAGCACAGGTGCCTCTGTATTCCCTCACTTTCATAGTCCGATAGGACGGCTAACTGGTACAATCGTTGAAAGGTCAGACGTAGAACCAATGATTTTACGAGCTCTCCTAGGCAACCAACCTCCTGACTACGAACTGCTTCTGAGAATTTCTTATAAAAAAACCCAATAATCGATTTTGGACCGACCCGACATTCGACCGCGTATACAACCGCTAGACCAATGAGACAGTAGCCAAGGTACGCACCGCACACGCACACGTCGCCAATGTCGGTAGCCCGTCACACACTAACATTACACACTCACCCAATATAACGATCACAGATAGCTGAACAGATGGGACACGCACACCCCTCTACGCTACGTACACACCGTACACAAGCATACTCTAACGTCAAAAGATCCAAGTTAACCGCCAAAGCCGGGAGTCACCACCCCTGCTCAGACAACTGTTAGATAACTAACGTTTAGACATAATCGGTATCCTCATACAGCTCTATATCTGAATACAATGAAGGTGTAAAAATCACCACCTGGCTAAAAGTGTTAACATCATAAAAAATAGAAAGAGAAACATTCACCCGCACCGCACCTCGCCACACCATGCGTGCATGACGTGAATAGGATTCTATATAAATAACCGACATTTTTGTTCTGACAACAAATGTATACATTAGAAAAATATTCCTTTAAGTATGCCCAAGCATCCATTATAAGAAATAAATTGTATTTGCATAATACGTTTATGCGCTAAACGGTTACAGTAGGTTGGCAGCCGGTTGCCTTAAACCCGAGAAACAGACAAAACCCTTTAGTCTTGTTGGAAGAGTGTGTTTTTGCTAGAAGACCATAATATGGTTACTATGAGCACCTAGCATTATATTTTTTAAATGTTTAAAATTTAAAACAAAAAATTAACAAATTGAACCAATATTCTTAAAAATCAGTTATAACTAAGTACCTGAAACCACTAAACATTGGTATCTTAATTTTTTTAAATCATCCGAATCTATTGTACTTATATCACTAAAAGGAGAAGATACTGATTTCTAAGATACAGTTTTTACAACTAGTTTTGAAGCCAGGGTTCCATTTATTTCTTTGACGATTCATGGTAAATAGAGCACTTATTATTTATTATCATTATTATTACTTCTGACTGGCACTCCAATATTTATGGGAACAACTACAACGATAGTTAGCCGAAAATCAAATAAAACTAAACAACAAATGGCATAGTTAAAAACTGTATAGTGTTTTCCACTGCTGTAGATGCAATAATTACATTATTATTAATTACACTCTACGACACATTTGCCTTTCATAGACAAAAGCTGAAGAGGTAAAGCAAATCGCAGAAGAAGCTAAAGCAGATCTAGCTCTGGCGATGCCAGCAATGGAGGCAGCGCAGGAAGCACTTAAGGCGCTCAACAAGAGTGACATCAACGAGCTCAAGGCCTTCCAGAAGCCGCCGCAGCTCGTCCGCTTCGTCATGGAGCCCGTCTGCATTCTGCTCGGAGCCAAGTCAGAGCCTTTCAAATACAAAACTAAAAATTCTCTCTATCTCTTGCACTTATCCTCCGATTTATTATAATTGACAAGAGATTCTGGTATATAATGGTTGCACACGAGACACGATCGTGACCATGGGTGCTGTAAAGTACTCGAAACGTCGGGAATATACGAGTATAATTAGTTAATTAAACGCGATAAAAACCAGTTTCATTCAATTTAGTATATATTTTATTGCCATATAAAAAACAAAGCATTTTACACCCTGATTCTAAGTCTACCTTGACATTACGTACCCATGAAACCATCGTTCTATGATGTACTCATAGAACGATGGAATATGATCTCTGCTGTAATTTATGTGAATCAATAGAACGGTAGAAATGAAAACAGACTTTTTTGTCGTTATTAGGAATACGGTGCTGCTCATCTCCTTTTCGACAGAAGGAAATCTGTTGTCTCTTATTACGACACCCACGGAATGATACGAGGTAGTGGATATTCTTTTACCGCCACTACACGGCAACCTGAAACGTGAATGATGACATAAATGACATTCAGCAATACCAACCAGGAAACTTTGGGGCAGGTCGCTAGTATAAAATATTTTGCCACCACACTCGTAGTCAGTATTTTACTCAGTTTTTAAATTTACCAAAATATTCACATTTCTCTCATGTACAGACCGGATTGGGATTCGACCAAGAAACTTTTGGCGGACGTAAACTTCATTCGCAACCTGCAGGATTACGACAAGGACCACATCCCTGACGCCACGCTGAAGAAGTTAAAGACTTACCTCACTCACAAGGACTTCAACCCCGATACCGTCGTCAGAGTATCCAAGGTTAGCTCATTAACTTACTCTCTTTGTCATGTTGAACATTGATGAGATTTTTTTATAAAAAGAAATGTTAAACGAACATTCTTAACCGGTCAAGGCATACTCTGTTTTTATATATTTTTATTATTTATTTTAAACCCTGAGGACTGACGAGAAGATCCTGGAGCTGGAAGAAGAAATAGACAAGTTGCGCTGGGATATTGTAGGATTATCCGAGGTCTGAAGAGAGGGAAAGGACACTTTAATCCTCGAATCCGGCAACTTGACCTCGGCACCGGGAGGGCAAACGCCTGTCCCAAGGATATGTCGGATTTATCGTCCACAGGTCTCTCGTTAATAGTTGTAAAGAATGGGAGTGTGTCGACGTGGGTTGCGTACCTTATACTCAAAATCGCCATGCGGTATTGAAGTGATACAGATATGTTATGAAGTATCATACAGGTACTGAGTATGAAGGTCATACAGCCATGAAGGAAATGTATGAGGATATCTTTAGATATATACATTCCTCCAAACCCACTATATGGCGATAGGAGACTTCAAAGTAAAACTAGGCACAAAAGAGAACAGTGAGCTGAAAGTAGGGAAATTCCGAATAGGGCAACAAAACCCAAGGGGCCAGCATATGGCCGACTTTATGGAGAAAGAAGGACTCTTTATGATGAACTCTTTGATTCTGTCGAAATTTGGGCAGTACTGCAGTCCCTTCAGCAAGTGGGCTGTCGTTATGTCGAAGTGCTAAAGTGCTTGTAAAGCAGGTCTACGAGGGCTATTCGAGTACAAAACCAAAGTACGAAACCTATCCAATTGAAGAGAGGTGTAACACAATCTCCGAAACTCTTCGCCACTGCATTGGAAGACGTGTTCAAGCTACTGGACTGGAATCGTATTAACGTCTATGGCGAGTACATCACTCACCTTCGATTTGCCGACGATAAATTCCTTATGGCACAATCGCTGAAGGACCTAAGCACTATGCTCAATGACCTCAACAGTGTCTCCCAACTTATAGTTGATATTGTTACGAGCTTAGGGTTCGTGACAATAAAAACTGCTAGAAAATTAAAACTTAAATCACACTTAACACTTTAGTTCACTTTATTTCGCTCCGAAAGCTTCGCTCGTATCGCCAATTCAATACTGCCCCGATCGCGGCTTTGAACGGCTTTATAGAGGCTTTTTCCACTAAAACATTCAGAATATTCCAGCAAATACCGGCCCCGACCAACGAGGTGCAGAAAGTTCGATTATGGGGCTTTCTAGAAAGCTTAGTTCTTCCATTCGATACTAGATGGCAGTAGTGGGAAAGTTCTAAAAAGATCTTGACGCTCCTATTTCTGCTTCTTGATACCAGATGGCGCTAATAATCAGCCGCCACGCACCAGGCGCTAATTATAGCGTGCAACAATATGAACAAGAACATGGACAAAACAAAAGTAATGTGTAATGTCCATGCCACACCTATGCCGGTGGTTGTTGGGAGCACTAAGCTTGAAGTTGTTGACGAGTATGTTTACCTGAGACAACAGTAGTCCGACTAGGTAAGTTCAACTTCGACCGGGAGGTCAATCGACGTATTCAACTCGGCTGGACATCGTTTAGGAGATTGCGATACATCTTCTCATCAGGTATACTTCAAAACCTCAAAACTAGATTTTACGACCAGTGTGTGTTGATAGTGATGACCTATGGATCTGAGACGTGGTCCTTCACTGTCGGCCGTATGAGGAAGCTCAAAGTCACTCAGCGAGCTATGGAGAGGGCTGTGCTTGGTGTTACTCTGCGTGATAAACTTAGGAATGAAGATATCAACAGTAGAACCAGAGTAATTGGCATAGCCCCTATGGATTAGAAAACTGAAGTGGCAATGGGCCGGCCACATAGCTCGAAGATCCGATAACCGATGGGAAAAAAGTTTCTCGAGTGGCAGCCTCGTACCGGCAGTTTAGGTGTAGGGCGTCCCCCTACTAGATGGAGTGACGATCTGTTGAGTAATGCAGGAAGTCGATGGCTGAGGACCGTACTTAATGACATTCCTTGGGCTGTAATGATGATGATGATAATTTTAAACCTGATTTAATTTCCTCTTTTTATTGTATATAGGTATAACTAGTCTATTTATACCTTAAGGGTAGATCCATTAAATTTCTAAGAAATGATGAGGGATATAACTAGACGGCACTTCAGTTATTGCCTCGAGCTTGTAATGTTGTTTATTCTATTTTTGAAGGTCATAACTACTAAAACAAAATATAAAAGTACAAACTACCTTCAATAACCTGAGGAGAATGAAGTAATGTAATGGTTTCCAATAGCGGCGCTAAGACCGGAATGCATTTTACATCAAATAATTATGAAATCCCCACGACTTCAGAACCTGTTATGTATACGGTGAAAATAATTTTAATGTTCTTTGTTTTTTGAAGTCCGTTTTGCTATTTTATTAGTAGGTTATTCGACTTTTATTATCAACTGAAGCACTTTATCTCCGAGTTAAGTTTACTGATTCATCTAAAAGTAATCACCTGGTGGTAATAGGTGTGCCGGTCCATGGTGCTGTGGGTGCAGGCCATCGACATGTACGCCAAGGTGTTTCGCGTCGTGGAGCCCAAAATCATCAAGTGAGTCTACTCATGTATAGTCTGATTTTTCATTCCGTAGAATTCTGACAGCTATCATTTTTTTGACATGTCAGAGGTTACAAATCTTTTTGGCCAGGCACATTTTTAAATTTCAATACCAGTCTAAACATCTGAGTCTATACATACATTTTATTTGTTAGTGAATGTATCCATTTTATTAAGTGCGGTGCTTCACAATAAAAGTGGTTTTACGGCGAGTGATAATTACGTCCCTTTTCATCAGTACAGCAGTAAAAAACGCACAAGTAAAGATAACATATTTTTATTAAAATCTTTAATCATGATTAATACTTATATCACTATCTTCATCATCATCATCATCATCGCTGACATGAGTTATTAAAAAGTCTGCGACTGTGTGAATCAAATCGTTGAGAGTGCACATCTTTTCTTCTTTGATTGTATGACTAATATATTCTTGTCATTTATCAGGAGTAACATTACTTATACTTCCCAGTAATATTTTTTTCACTTCCGGCTTTTTAAAACTTCTGTTGTGTCTACGACATGTCCCTTCGCTTGAGCCCACTCCAATTCAATAGGGTTGAGCTCACAGTGATATGTGGGGCAGTCTGAGCACAGTAGTGACAAGGCATTACTGTGCTCAGACTGCGGCCATCTCGTCTACAATACACTGTTGATATTTGTTTTCTCCTGACCCACAATTTTTAATAAATTAACTTTTAGCATTTTTTCTTCAAAATTTTAATTTTTAGAAGTCAACCACGCTTGGATATCACCTTTTCTCCATGCACTTGTTGGTACTTTTTCAACCTTCCTCGAATGATAGGGAGCATTATCCAACACTACTACCGAGTTTGGTTTTAATTTTGGAAGTATTTTTTAAAACACTCCTCAAATACTTCCCCAGTCATCTATCTCCTTGTGATAATCTGCCAAGCCTTTTTTTGCCTCAAAAACCAATAAGCCATCTTCCAAAAATCCTTCTTCGCTCCCTATATGGCTAACTATAAGTTACCTCCCTTTGCCTGTAGGTGCCTTAAGCCCTGTTGTCAAGCCATCGAGGAAAACTTATGAAGATTGAATGTTGATATCACACCACACTTTATTGACGTTATGTCCTGAAAATAAAAATATATTTAATATTTCACTTATACATGAGGACAGTCATATATGCATATAAATTAAAGCAATATTACCTATAAATATGGATTTCTTTATTTATTTATTCGTTGTGGCAACAGAACTTTATTAACAAGGTTAATTTAAGTATTACATAAGCACAAAATTTGACATGTCCTATAAAAAATCCTTAAATTCGCGAAAAAAGAATTGCGGGTCACTCATGCGCAATAAAAACTAACCCAAGTTGGGCCAAACTGCACACGGTGTTCGAATTTGATTAAAATTGGTCAAGTAGTTTAGGAGTCCATCGCGGACAAACAACGTGACACGTAATTTATATATATTTAAGAGACGCCATAGTACATCTCCTTGCGATTTGTTAGCGCACTTCGACGTTTGCGACTTGCGTATTTAAAATTTAAATGCTTCAATACTTTTCTTAATGTTCATTTCGACATAACAGGCATGTCTGGATCTCTATCTCTTGGTGAATCTGAAATAAGCATTTAATAACATACAGTTAAAACGTAGACAGGCAACACAGGTTATACTTTAAGTTTAGTTTAGTTTTAAAGCAATGGGGGATGTCCACAACGAGGGGTTAAAGAATTAGCAGTAACTTTACCTCTTCATTAGTCGGAATCTTGTTCCAGTAGAAAAACGCGTGAACCTTTCGTCAAATTTTTGTATAAAAGATAGTTGAAGTCCAATCTTTTTCGGCTTTTCAAACTCTTTTGTGTCTTTATATTTTCTATGGTAATTTTATACACACTTGACAGACCCACGCCAGTCATCACAGAAGTCTTTAGCACATTCCGTTGCACTCCAATCAGTTGTTTGCGGCCAATGTTCTATATTTGTAAATATTTAGAATAATGGTCTTTTCGTTGGGCGTAAAAGCACCACGAGGACGCTTCTTTCTGGGAGAAAGAAAGTCTGAGTCTTGTGCTCTGTCAGATGGGGCTGCTTCCTGGAATGGGCCAGGTTGTGACTCCATAACCTTTATAAAAATCAACAAACGATCGCAACACGAAAATTCAACAAGAAAACACTAACATAAACTTAACAAATATAACAAAATAATAACAACAAATAGCAGCAAACATCGAGAACACATGAGCGCATTCGAGCACTCAAAGAAGTCGAATGAAAATCAATCAATGTGACAGACGCGACGTGAAGGATAATATTTTTTTAAAGTTTACTAAACCTGGAATTAGTAGGCAGTGATGCCAGCTAAAGAATAAAATAAAGTAATTAAAGTTAATTCGAAATATTGTTCGTGATATTGAAATATTTGTTATTTTTGTATTAGGTCACTTGAGTAAGTAAATATTTAGATTTACCTTTTTGTAGGTAAAACATAGAACTTTATTTTTATTGCCTTCAAATGGGTCAAATTTATCCCTTTTTTCTATGGTGAACCTTTTTAGTAGTAACACTTATAAAATGTCAGATTTCTACGGAATGAAAAATCAGAGTTTAATGTAATATCGTGACGTTTTGTAGTTCGATAATCGACAATAAAAACTTCATTAAATTTAAATTAATTTTTATTTGCAAATTGTATGTGGTTTTTTTACCTCTACATTGCCGGTGAGTAAGAGGATTGTCAAAGACTCCGCCTTACTGATGCGTGTGTCATTTAGAGGGGGAGCAAATTTAAATTTTCGTCAAAGGCGCCAACATGTGAATAATGAGCTATCAACAGCGTAGTAGACGTTATAGTGCCGCAAGCAAATGCATGCGTTACCTGGTTGGAGTTTAGAAGAAAGCGTATGCGATAGTTTAGGTCGAGAACCAGAGATGAGGAGGTAGTAAAATACTATCAATCGAAAAAGCTTATAATTTGCTATTTTGCAGAAATCGCTCATTAAATACAAAAAGCACACAAATCAAAAACTGCATTTTTTTACAGGAAGACCTGAACAAAAGGTTTTAACACGTGAATTCTTCGTCAGTCTGAGCGATATTAGAATGGCTCTCCAGCACCTTAAAAACGGCAAGTCTCCGGACGAGTATGGAATTACAGCGGAGCATCTGAAAGAGGGTGGAACACCGGTACTTGAAGTCCTTCAGAAGCTCTTCAATTCCATCCTCCATGGTGGCACTATTCCGGAGGCGTGGGGCAGAAGCACGGTGGTCTTGTTCTTTAAGAAAGGCGACAACCCTCTCTTGAAGAACTACAGACCGATTTCCCTTCTGAGACGCTTCTACGTGCTGTTTTCGAGAGTCTTTACGAATCGTCTCGCACGCAGACTCGACGACTTCCAGCCTCCCGAAAAAGCCGGTTCCCGAAAAGGCTTCAGTACCATAGACCACATACATACCCTGCGACAGATTGTACAGAAGACCGAGGAGTACAATCTGCCACTTTGCCTGGCATGTGTGGACTATGAGAAAGCCTTTGATTCCGTTGAAATTTTAGCGGTGCTACAGTCCCTTCAGCGGTACCAAGTTGACTGTAGGTATATCGAAGTGCTGAAGTGTTTGTACAGTAGGGCTACGATGGCTGTCCGAGTACAGAACCAGAGTTCGAAACCTATCCAACTGCAGAGAGGTGTAAGACAGGGTGATGTTATATCCCCGAAACTCTTCACCGCTGCGTTGGAAGACGTTTTCAAACTACTGGACTGGAAAGGATACGATTAACATCAATGGCGAGTATATCACTCACCTTCGATTTGCCGACGATATAGTCCTTATGGCGGAATCGCTGGAGGACCTCAATGGTGTCTCCCAACGGATAGGTCTTAAGATGAAGATGGACAAAACAAAGATCATGTTTAATGTCCATGTAACACCTATGCCGGTAGTTGTTGGGAGCACTATGCTCGAAGTTGTTGACGAGTACGTTTACCTGGCACAAATAGTCCGACTAGGTAAGTCCAACTTCGACCGAGAGGTCAATCGACGGATTCAAATCGGCTGGGCAGCGTTCGGGAAATTACGACACATCTTCTCGTCAGGTATACCTCAATCTCTGAAAACTAAAGTGCATAACCAGTGCCTGTTGCCAGCGATGACTAACGGATCTGAGACGTGGTCCTTCACTGCTGGCCGTATGAGGACGCTCAAGGTCGCTCAGCGAGCTATGGAGAGGGCTATGCTCGGAGTTTCTCTGCGTGATAGACTCAGAAATGAGGATATCCGCAGTATAACTAGAGTGACTTCGAGCTATATGGCCGGCAATGGGTCGCCCATATAGCTCGAAGAACCGATAACCGATGGGGAAGAAAGGTTCTCGAGTGGCAGCCTCGTACCAGTAGGCGTAGTGTAGGGCGACCCCCCACTAGATGGAGTAACAACCTGGTAAGAGATGCAGGAAGTCGATGGATGCAGGTGGCTCAGGACCGTGCTTTGTGGCATTACTTGGGGGAGGCCTATGCTCAGCAGTGGACTTGTGAAGGGCTGTAATGATGATGATGATGACATACATATATATAAATAACTTCATTATTGAGTAGATGTAATTGTATATCCTTGATAAATTCCTCTCTTTTACATTTGCAAACGTTTTCAAAATTTCTTTGTTTCAACAGCAATCCAAATATTATTTATTGAATTCGTATGTTTGTATTTAACTTTATTTAAAATAGTTTTATGTCAAGATTTTAACAAATTTCTAGTTCTGTGAGGCATTACGAATGAATTCTTAACAGTCACATAATTTTATTTCTTGAGCCATGTCTTTTCATAGTATTTCACAAGCGCCATTATATTATCATCATTATTCAAAAAAGATGTTACAAACAGCTATCATGTTTTAAACGACTTACAGATGAGGGAGAAAATCGGAAGAAAACTAATATACAAATTCCGATTATTCACCTGGTCTGGGCTTGATAAACGAAGGCGCGTTTACGAGTATTCACCCTATGGTGGATTTCTTAGGGTGGATAAACGGAATAACCCGGTGATATAAAAGAAAAAAATATTTAATTTAAACGGAAAATGTTATTCATACAAAAATGATGATGATGTAGAACTGCACCTCCCGATTATATTAGTTTATCTACGAACTACACAAAAAAAAATGACGCATATTTAAGGTTGACCTAATTAAATTGCTAACAAAACTAGAGCGAGATATGAGAGTGGTCGACAATAATGATAACAAAAATCAAGTTAAGAAACTATTATAGTTAGTAGAATAATGTTAATAATTACAAGATATATAACAAGATATAAGTAGATATAGGTCCACGTCCAGATCTATTTTACTGGTTGTCACTCAGGCACACTCTCGCAAATACGGGTCAGGTGCCTTTGTTGTGCTGGGATGGGACTATGCTCTTCCAGAATACTAGCGTAAAATATCTTTATCTATTTTTATCGCAACTGACAAAAATGTAAAAATGTGTTTTGGTAATAATTTAAGCTCAAATGATGGGTATCTTTTTTACAGCATAAAATATCATCGATATAGGTCATATTTTTCAATAAAACGATTTTGATATTTTTTATTTGTAGCCTTTTTGTATTTAATGAGCGAAATATAGTATTAATTTGTGGGCATTGGCGTGGGTTACACGTTAAATACTCCAATTATAAATTACTTGTCTTGCATTACGTAAAAGTGTTACTATTTTTTGTCCTATTTTTTTAATTAAAACTTTGATGGCATTTGTACACGTACCGTGTCATAGTTGGCCGATATTGAGTACAAGGTTGGATAATATGATGTAACGTGAGGTGACGTTACGTTTTTGTGCCTTAGGCACAAAGAGGCAGCTGCCGTGCTGAAGAGCGTGATGGCGGACCTGCGTGGCAAGCAGAAGCAAGTAGAGGCCATTGAGGCGCAACTCGCCGCAATGATTGAGGAGTTGCGGGTGAGATAACATATATGTTTATCTGCTGTTTATAACTAGTTGACTCGCTGACCGTTTTTATAGAATAAGGGTGACAAACGGGCATCAAACCGTTGGTAAGTGGGTGCTGTAGCCCATAGACATCTACATTTATCCTGGATTAAAAATCAAACTACTTCTGAGATATTACTTCTGAGGAGTGGATGGAATGCCTCATTTCCCGTAAAAATGTTCTCCGGTTCTCTACACTCCGTATACAAAACACAGCAACATTAAACTGCTATTTTACGCTAGTATTCTGTAAGAGCATGGTCCTTCCCCGGTCGAGACGACACATTAGAGCTACAACCATAATCTAACTGCAGCGTGGATCTGTGAATTCGTTTTTGGATATGTATCTACTATAATGCAGAAGCTGGCAGGCGTTCCTTGGAAGCTATGCCATCATGCTGCTCTGGGCAGTTGATTTAAGTTTAATCAATCCTTGAATCCACAAACTGAAGTTCATCCACTGAAGTAATCTGTACTGCATATTAGAAGAGACGCCGTGAATTGGTTGTTTGTACATGTTAGAGTCCACTTACTCTGTGCCATAAAATGGTACTATGTGCCTCTGACCACACGGCCCGCACTGCTGCATAGACTTTGTGTATAGTACGTAGTACATACAACTTCAATGAGTGCATCTACTTTTGCGTTCCGATTTGTAAGGTATAAATAGACAGTGTGGTTGTAGATGTGGTATTGTCCAGTTGTCGGAGATGACAAGGCAGGTGTGCGCAATATACATGATTGATAGATATCAAAAAGTTTAAAAGCAAACCAAAAATTGTTTTAATAATGTTTGTTATATCACCAAGGAGTTCGCGACCCCGTGTCGTCCCGCGCGTGTCGTAAGAGGCGGCAGAGGGAAACAGATTGAGAGATGAGCAACAGCGTCTTTTCAAGAAAGACCAAAAATCAAAAACTACAATTGTAAACCCGCTCTGAGCATTGACTCAGACCGCGCTATCTATGGGGGAGGCCTATGTTCAGCAATCGACATTTATACGTATGTAATGGATGATTAGATAATGGAAGCATCCTTGTAACTTTATTGAATAAATGTAATTCTAATATATTTTATTCAATTCTTGGCTTCAGGTGGTGGAAGCTGAACGCGACCGGCTGCAGGCGGACGTTCAGCTGGCAGCTGCACGGCTCGCGCGCGCCGGCAGCCTCACGCAGGCGCTCGCTGACGAGCAGGCGCGCTGGGCGGCCAGCGTGCAGGTCATCACCACCACACCAACACACCACCACCATACTGACACACAACCACTCCTCACTACACACACACACGCAGTGGAGTTGTCGACGAACGTCCTGATAGCAGAGACACTAACACGCAATTGGCAACTAGCAGCCAAATTTCGAAAAAAGGTTTAGAATAAGTAATTTATGCAAATGGTGAAGAAAAATTAATGAAGAAAATCTCAAACGTTCTGTCAATTAATAATTCTCCTATTATAAAATGAGCAGGTGTAATTGTAAGAGGAATTCCAGGGTCATTAAATGGAAAATAAAGAAATAACTACTTTTATCTACCTACTTGATTAATGACGTCCGTAACCCTATTTACATAAGTCGAAGTTGTTTGGGTCCTCTTGAAACCAAGCTAAGACGATAGTTACTAATTCAAATTATATATAATTATATATAATTAAGAATTGTCGGTGAATTGCTTGATCTTTCCTAATAAATTGGCCAATAATGGAGTTCCTAGAAGCTTTAATCTTGGAAGAAATACTATGTTACTTATTGGCTCGGGACAAGTTAAGGGTTATATTGTTCAAGATAATATTACTTTTATGCTTATCACAACATCAAATAACATATGATTTATTAAACACTCACAAAGTAACAAAACAAGCCGTTCTTGCTGATATCCCACATATATTTGATCGTTCTGAAGTCCTATAGTTGTAACTACAAAAAAATCCTCCAAAAATATGGCTTGTAGACCAATCATGGGATGATTCACCATAAGGTTGCTAAATAAGGAATATATTTATTTAAATACACTTGAATAAAACTAAATTTACGGATTCTATCGCGTTTATTTAACTGGTTTTACTTATTTTTAATTCCCGACGTTTCGGGTGCTTTACAGCAACCATGGTCACGGGGGGGACTGAGATGTTTGACGTCCCAATGTATTGTTAGCCGGGCTACCTTCAGTTTTTGAATATTAATATATGTTAACATATATCTGGTGCTTGGGGGGAGGGAGGTATTGAAATTAAAAACATCTAATTTAGAGAAAATGGTTGTGGGTAGAAGAGGAGAGAAATAATATTCAAAACTGATGGTAGTCGGGCTAATGACATTGGGAGACATCTCAGTCCCCCCCGTGACCATGGTTGCTGTAAAGCACCCGAAACGTCGGGAATTAAAAATAAGTAAAATCAGTTAAATAAACGCGATAGAATCCGTAAATTTAGTTTTATTCAATAAATAATATATTCCTTATTTAGCTAACCTTATGGTGAATCATCCCATGATTGGTCTACAAGCCATATTTTTGGAGGATTTTTTGTAGTTACAACTATAGGACCTTCCAGAACGATCAAATATATGTGGGATATCAGCAAGAACGGCTTTTGTCACTTTGTGAGTGTTTAATAAATCATATGTTATTTGATGTTGTGATAAGATAAAGGTAAATTATCTTGAACAATATAACCCTTAACTTGTCCTGACACAAACCATCCAAGTGTCGTATTTTAAATAATTATTGGCTGATTTCTATGCTTTTGGAGTGCTTCCTTAATTATGCTCGCAAATACCTACGCACCAAAAGTAAATCAATTGGACTTATTAAAAATTGTGGTTCTGCTAGTTTTAATAGTTGCAATAAAGGCCAGTTTTGTGATGTATTATATGTAAGGAGTTGTGAAATGATTTTTTTAAAACAAATGCTTTAACAATTGAAAAGAGGATTCGAATTTTGACCTGTGTAAGATTGAACTCTACAATAGACTTGGCTGTAGTTACCTTGGAATCAACAACGGAAATGTTGCTGAATACTTTATTTCACTACTAATGTTTGACATGCCGTCTCTGTGATCAGTGAAATCTATGACCCTTGCGTAAGCAATTAAAATAAGCACCTTGTTCATATACAAAGTTTCTTCAATCTTCTGTATTTAATTTTAATAATGTTTTACAGTGACATATAAAATGATCTTTTTTGCAGTAGGTACAAGATCTGATGAAGCTCTGTTGTTACAAGCGGTTAAATGATTACGACTTATTTCATTAGCGAACACTAGAAGATTGCGCTAGCCTGAAGTGTTCCCTTCCTGTACCAATAATCTCTAGTGCTCTAAATCTTTATTCCAAAAATCAGAGAAGTCCCCCCAAGTTGGAAGCTTCGAATGGTCTAGTGTTGGCTCGAAGTGTTGATGGAAATCAGGGTCCAGTTTTAAAAGCACAACAACTACAACATTGATCTGTGGCTACAACTAAGCTCTTTAGACAAGTCATGCGTTCAGATGTGGTATCTAATAATTCTCGAATCATTTAGTGCTTACTATCGTAATTTTTCGTTGGTTTATAAATCTGCTGATATACGCATTGACTACACATCTTTTACTATTGTATTGATTATCTAATAACTTCCAAATTACATCGTTGTTATCTTCCAAAACTATTATATGCTTATTAAACTATTTAGCCTCACCTTTTAAAGATGTCTTCAAATACTGAAACTTGTCGACATTTCTGAGCTGATCATTATTATGTATACGCGATATATAAACATCCTTAAAAGTTATTCATTCGCTATATTTTCCAGTGAATACAGGTAATTGCACCGGCGGCAACCTTGTTGCTTCCATCTGAGTGTTCAAAAGATATATTGTATGTGTTTCTAATCAGAAATGAAAACTCACCTTTCATTTCTGTTTCAATATGTTTAAGAATTGTATTTCTGTAACTTTCTTGAAATTGCGTCCAATATGTTTCATTTAATGTAACCTTGTCTCATAATATTTTTAGTTCGACGATCAAGTGGCGACTTCTTCATGTTGTAGATAAGCGAAGAAATTTGTTTAAAAATTCCCATTGGCATAAATCCATTTTAATGTTTTTTTTATTGTTTTCACTGCAAAAGTAAGATAAATACTAATTTTTATTTAATTTTAATAACTAACCAGTTCGAGGGATCAAAAATGTATAACAACAAATGAAGATATTAAAAAAAATTAGGCTTACTCAAATTTTATTTTCGAACAACACACAAATAGCTTATAATATTCAACACTCTGACTGATATATATATATATATATATATATATATATATATATATATATATATATATAAAATAAATTTGGAAAATCCAAAAGAGCAAACCTCGAACGCTCGTGTAATGTTTTGAATAATCAATTTACTTTTATTAATTACCTAACACCAAATTTTTTTGGCTGCTTGATACCGGTGATTTCTATTTTGTACCCGAAAAAAATTATCAAATATTAATGAACGGGACGCTTTACAACCGTCAAAAGTTTTAAATTAAAGACTTCCTAAGTATTAAAATGTAAAGCTAATAAAAACCATCAAAGTGATATGTTCAGTTTATATTTATTATATATATATATATATATATATATATATATATATATATATATATATATATATACATATATATATATAATTTTCGAATATATATATATATATATATATATATATAGACTATTTTAAAGTATAAACCAAATTGTTTATCTTCAGGTCCAAAAATTCCATTCGCCTTTAACTTTTAAATACGTAAATCGTTGGTTAAGCTTACCAATAAAGCTGTTATAAATTCTGATAAGGCAAATCCTTCCTACAACGGAGGAGGTTGAAGCAGCATGTCCAGCAGTGTACTTGTAGAGTCTAGTGGAGTGGGAGACGAAGAATCCGGATATGGAGTAATGAGTATATAGTGTACAGCGGGTGCAGACTGATGACGTGCTGACGTTAGAGACATTTTTTATAGAATAAGGGTGATAAACGAGCACACACCTGATAATAAGTAGGTGCTGCGGCCTTTAGACCTTTACCAAGATCCTTGATTAAAAATTAAAATGCAGATGCGCTATCACCACTTAGGAGTAAGATGGAATGCTCCGTTTCCAGTATAAAGGGAAAGAGCCTCCGGTTGTTTACACTCACTAGACGAAACATAACTATTTTACGTTGGTGTTCTGTGAAAGCTCGACTGGGGAGGATGCCTCTGAAGCTACAACCATTTCATAGGTGTAACATGGCTCTACCACGTTTTGAGTATAATGTGTGGAGGCGCGCGGTGCAGGAGGCGTCGGTGCAGCTGCAGTGTGCGACGGGCGACGTGCTGGTGGCTGCGGGCTGCGTGGCGTACTTCGGCGCTTTCCCCGCGCACTACCGCAGTGAGCTACAGCACAAGTGGGTGCAGCACTGCACGCAGCTGCGTATCCCCGCTTCCGCGCACTTTGAGTGAGTCTTTCCTCGTCATACACGAACCAATAGTGCCTCCACACACAACAACCTCAACGCACTAACCTAACCTTTTTATCGTGACTAAATCACCATGGATACCTTCGACTGCGGGGGCAACAGAAACATGCCGGTTTCCAGCCGGTTAAAACCCCACGGTGATCACCATCAGTGTATAGGAGCGGCTGCTAGACTGAAGTTTGGTCACTGCAGCCAACTTTTACGGAGACTAGCCATCAGCGTGGGACAAGATTATAGTAGTTTAGTATATGCCAATAATCTTGTGATATTTAACGCCATCTCATAGTGCATATAAATAAAATGGAAGTATGTGTGATATGATATCGTATCAGCAATATGCAAAGACATATGAATATGTATACTATTAGAGAGTATAGACAGAGGTATTTCAAAGCAAAACCTGTTACAGAAGTAGATCGCGCGGGCTTGTAGCTGGCACGGTAACTATGCCATGAAATAGTATTTTCATTGACGACAGTTACTGTTTTTCGGCAAACATGAAATAAAATTACATACTTATTTGAATCCGTCCCGCTCGTGCTCTAATCCAAAGACTCGAAAACTTTCCGCTCGGGTTACAAAACCGTTTTCAGTGCCTAGATGACGATATGATGACATGATATGAATGACAAGCTCGTGGGAACTGTCCATTCGGTCGGAACTAAGTCCTGTAATATTCGTAGCAGAAGAACACAAAAAATCTCCGATCACACTCTTAATCTCATGGCTGTTACGCGGGAAATCAAACTGCAGTCTTCAACAGATTTGACAACATACAGGCAACTGAACAGACAGATTTCCAAAAACATGCAGCAGGACTTAAGCAACTTCAATACAGCTCGTATTAAAGAAGAACCAAGACTCCAACTCTAGAGAGGTCAATTGACGGATTCAACTTCGGCTGGGCAGCGGTCGGGAAATTACTTCACAACTTCTCGTCAAGTATACCTCAAAACCTGGAAACAAGATTGCATGTTGCCAGTGATTAGTGATTACCTATGGATGTAAGATGTGGTCCTTAACTGCTGACCGTATGAGGACGCTCAAAGTCGCTTAGCGAGCTATGGAGAGGGCTATGCTCGGGGTTTCTCTGCGTGATAAAGCTGATGATCTGGTAAGACATGCAAGTAAGACGATAGTTGCAGGTGGCTCATGACCGTGCTTTGTGACATGCCTTTGTAGGCCTATGTTCAGCAGTGGACTTGTGCAGGGCTGTAATGATGATAACTTATCTGAATTGGACTTTAAATTACATTGACAAAGTGCGCACATGAATAGTGACAGCGTTTTGTTAGTTATATTAAACGAAATCAATGTTGGTTTGTGTAAATCAATGTTCACGGCTTGTAAAACAAAGGACTAATCTTTTCGCCTGCTCGCACTCAAATAAAGCTAAAGTAGTTACGGAGAATTAAGCATAATTTGGTAAGAAATATATTAGGTGCCGTAGGGTCCGCGTGATAGTATCAAACAGACAGAGTTTTACGTTATCTAGTGTATATAGTAGTGTAGAGTGTAACTACGTAGTAATATTATTTATTCTGTGGTGTAACTTAGCGTGCAATGTAATTAGTACGAGTAGGTACCGCAGTGCCTGTCTGGTAGAAGTCTTTGGTAATATGTAACGCATGTGCGTGTGTGTGAGAGAGAAAGAGGGAGCGAGAGAGAGGGTGATAGGGAGGGGGGAGAGGGGAAAGAGAAGGAGAGGGGGAAGGAAGCGAGAGTGTATGTGTGTGCTGGGTGCAGGTTGGTGTCGGTGGCGGCGGGTGCGGGGGCCGCGCGCAAGTGGCAAGCGCAGGGGCTGCCGCGTGACTCCACTTCCGCACAAAACGCCGCTCTCGTGTGTCGGGCCGCGCGCTATCCACTAGCCATCGACCCGCAGCAACAGGTGCGTTATACACAAGTGCGCGTGCGTGTGAAACACACCGAAACATCACGCACCGACACATCATGCACCCCACAGAATACTCCGCTCAGCACACCGACACACTGATACACCGCACACTGCATCGCATACCATAAGTCGCATAACAAATACGCCTTCATGAAACAAGCTTACTCTTTTCTAAAGAGCAACGCAGCAGCGCACCCGTTTTTCCCTGGTGTTGCAGTTGTTCATTGGTAGCGATAGTCAATTACCATGAGTCGGGCCCCACACTAGTTTGCCCCATCTTCTATAAAAAAATCGACACATTTAAACACTGCACACCGACACACTGAAACCTTGCGGACCGACAGATGCACATCGGCACATATGATATATTCATTTCAAAATTAATGCTGTAAAATTTTTGGGCATAACGGAGGGTCAAGCTAAGTCATTTGAGGTAGTATAGGCCCTTAAACTTGTAGATTAGCCCTCGTACAATTCCGATTTACTGTTTGATTTGGACTGAGTGCAATTACTATACGTTTTAAATTTTAAAAATGAATCAAACTATCCAAATAACAGGTCCTTACATATGAAATTGGCGTTTTGTACGGGAAGAATATACAGTCATTTGTTTTTTGTAAAATATATTTAATTGATCAAAGTATGCACCGTTGTTATCTATGCACTTTTGCCATCTCATAGGTAGTTGATTGATCCCTTTCTAAACTTTTTTAGTGGGGGGGGGGGGGGTTACATGGGGGCGAGAATCAATAAACTCTTTGATGGCGGTTTGGACTGCTGCATCGCAGTTTTTTCTTGTAAAAAGTTTTCCAAATTCCGGAAAAAATGGTAATCTATTTGGAACAAGGTCCGGGAAGTACGGTGGATGTCGCAGACATTCCAATTGTAGCTCATCTAACTTAGTGGTTGTTTGTTGTGCAGTGTGTGGTCTTGCGTTGTCGTGAAGCAACAATGGCCAAGAGCGATTTACCAATCTCGGTTGTTTAGCAGCTAGTTCTTCCTTCATGGTTTGCAGTTGCTGATAATAGATATCTGCCGTAATCGTTTGGACAGATTTTAGAAAGCTGTAGTGAACGTCACCGGCGCTAGTCCACCAAACACGCACAAGTAATTTTTCTGAGTCAATTTTCGTTTAGGGCAGGATTTGGCTGGGTTTCCAGAGTTCAGCCATTGCGATGAGCACTTCCGATTATCGTAAAGTATACACTTTACATCACAAGTAATGATTCGAATTAAAATCCCTTCATTTTTGTGTCGGTTGAGCAAAGTAACACAGCAGTCGCGCGTGTTTGCAAGTTCATTACACTCAATTCATTAAGTACCCATCTTTCAAGTTTTTTTTTTTACTTTACCGATTTGCTTCAAGTGGAATAATACAGTATTATCACTTACCTCGAAGCTTGCAGCTATCTCTGAAGTGTTTTGTGATGGATCCGCTCCCACAATAGCCTTTAATTCTTCACTTTCCACTTTGGTCTCCGGCCGTCCACGGGGTTGATTCTGAAGGTCGAAATATCCAGAACGAAAACGTTGAAACCAAAAACGGACTGTGCTTTCTTTTGCGACACCAGCGCCGTACACATTATTAATCCTTCGAGATCTTTCTGCAGCACTGGTGCCCAGGTACACCTCGTACTCGTAAATATACCGATATTTCATGTTTTCCATTGTGCGGTAATAAATGACGCCAAAGAAAAAAATTATGAAGAAAAAAATTATTTGAGGAAACACAAATGAATAACTGTTTCGAAACTCAAATGTACCAGTTAAATGAATTTATAAATTTGAATTTGGAATATTTAACCAAAGAGGAGATATTTCAGATCAAAGTTGTCAGTACGACAAAACGCTAATTTCATATGTAAGGATCCAATATCTCTATATCAGCTTTTATGACCCATTTCTCTTTTTCTTCTTTTTTTCTTAATAAGTTACTTATAAACCTATCTCTCAGACCTACAAAGAATAACCGAAACCAAACCAAAACTATGATAAGAATATTCGATGACAAAAACTTGATAAATTTCTATATTTTCGAATATTATAGTCTATAGCAGTTTACATTGTAGGCGAATCGTTGGATAAAAAACATGGAGCGCGAAAACGGGCTGCAAGTTGCCAAGCCCACAGACCCGGCGCTGCTGCGACTGCTGGAGAGCTGCGTGCGGCTCGGCTGGCCACTGCTGCTCGAAGACCTGGGCGAGCAGCTCGACACCGCGCTCTCACCGGTGCTACTCAAACAGACCTTCATGCAGGTCCGTATACCGTTAGACTGCTTGTAACAAACATCGTGCCTTGTCTTTCAGTCTTAACTCTTTGTCTTTTCGTATTTGAGTTTTTATTTTAAAGTTTTGAAAAATTTTATGAATCAATATAGTTTTCAAACATCTGTGAATCGGAAGCAGTTGTTGCGCGCCACAATTAATGCCTGGTACATGGCGTTACTAGTTACTACTAGTGACTTCTGGTATCGAGAAGCAGAACTAGGAGAGTCAAGATCCTTCTAAAAATTTCCATGGAAGAACTTTATAGAACTATCGACACCTAGTAAGTCGGGAGAGATATGTACTCGAACATTCTAGATGTTTCTACAGTAGAAGGTTCTGGAACTATCTGAGGCACTTTTTGCTGTCTCAAACCCCAAGCTCGGAACAATTGATGTCAGAAATGGGATAAAATCATGCCGATTTTTCCTAAAGCCGACACGGAGAGTATCCGTACTTGAAGTCAATACCAGCTGGAAACAGACTAGAGACGATTTGGTGGTGCAACGCCGCAGACGTCGGAGGGTCAGCTGCCGACCTTGGAGGCTGACCCGTCAACAGCTCCAGCATCTGCAGCACCTGACTTGGTGCTCTGATGATGATGATGCAGGAACAGGCTCAACCACAGGAGGCTCAGGTCTGCCCACAGGGGGATCAGGTCTGCCCACAGGAGGAACAGGTCTGCCCACATGAGGAATAGGCTCGTCGTTGGAAGAGCAGCTGCAGGGCGGATAGGAGGAACAGGCCCGTCGTTTGAAAGAGCAGTTCAAACTCAATAAGGAAGAGCAGATGATAAGACCAAGTGGAGCGACGTCTCAGCGGTGAGTTCGACCACACAAAAGCTATTGGGCCCAATGAGACAGCTCACTAATTCAAGATGGAGTTATGTGCTATAAATGGGAAAATGGTCAGGAAGATAGCTGTCATTTGCAAATGGTTGTCCCTAAAGCTAAAGTACCGGATATCGATACGATACAGTGTACTATTGATTTTGTTCAAGAGGCCATCTGGGAGCTAAACGAACTCTACTGAAGATACGAGAACGGTTTTACTGAGTCCACTGTTGTGACGATGTTGAGGACAGGTGTCGCAAATGTATAAGTTGTGCGGCTGTATTGTACAATGTTGGTGTATCATAGAAGAGGTTTCCGTTTCCGGAAAGCGAAAGTGGTAACAAGTATTTCATGGTTGTGATAGATTACTTAACTAAGTGTCCAGAAGTCTTCGCCATTCCAAATCAAGAAGCTTCAACAGTTACAGATAGACTAGTTCATGAAGTCTTCTATCGTTTTGGAGTACCTTTAGAGATTCACGGGGGTTAAGCAAGGAATTTTGAGTCTCAAATATACCAGGAAACTTGAGGTAAGGTAACTTGAGTTATGGGTACCCATAAAACAAGAACAACTTCTTACCAACTACAATTTGATGGAATGATATAACGATTTAATCAGACATTGGAGAGATACCTAACAAAAGTTATAGAAAATCGGCAACGAAACTGGCACACGCACATACAACCGTTTTGTTCTCATATCGAAGCGCTGTTCATGAAAGTACATCAGTGACACCAGCTTTCGCAAACTTTGGAAGAGAATTACGGCTACTTGATCACCGGAATACCAACTGATGCTCCACGCATTATAACCAATTATGCAAATGACTTACGGAACAAAATGAATGACATTTATGAGCACGTCAATAATCGAGCCAGCAAATGTCAGAAATGATGAAAACACGGTATGACCGCAAAATTAACAACAAATGGTTCGACGAATGTTCACTAGTGTGTTGCACAATCCAGCCCGCAGCAAAGGGAAATCTCCTAAGCTTCAAGCTAAATGGGACGGACCGTACCGAATTGTGACAAGGATCAATGACGTAACCTACCGGATACAGAAAGGTGCAAGAAGTACTTCTAAGATCGTTAATGTGGATCGACTGGCGCGTTATTATGGGGCTGATAATGCTCGGGACGAGCATGTCTTAGGAGGGAGCAGCAGCGTGCCACAATTAATACCTGATACATGGCGACGCTAATTCCCACTAGCATCGAGTAGCAGAGAACTAGGAGAGTCAAGATCCTTCTAAAAATGTCCATGGAAAAACTTTCTAGTACTATCGACACCTAATAAGTCGGGACCGGCATATACTTGATGTTTCTACAGTAGAAGGTATTGTATTGCCGAATACTTCAAAGCGATACAACTGCGAATTAAAGTAATCAGTAGTACAATTTTGTTTTGTTCTTAGTGTGGTTTTAAGTTTTTACACTAAGTTCTGTAATTAAAGTGTCAAATTTGGTAATTCACTCGGCAGTTTTAATTGTCTCGAACCCTAAGCTCGTAACATAGTTATTGTGTAAAGTAGTTAACATCAATGCTTTGAAATTAACTTTTTGTTTATGCTTTAATATAGAAATTATTAAATAGTGAAATGGTTACACTGACGTTATCTTTTAACGATGTTTAGTTTATTTAGAATGAAAATTGTTTATGTGTCATCAAAGGTTGAGGTAAGAAAATAAATTTATATTTAGTAACTAAAAACATTAGCCCAATTATGCCGTTCTAATTTTGAAAAAATAAATGAGTTGAATAATACGCATGACAGTAATTAGGTCAAGAAGAAAATGAATGAGGTGAGTGTAACTAAGAAATCTTACTTACCTACTACCTTAGTATTTTAACCTCACAATATGCAATCCGACCACGGCGATATTCCGTAATTCCAAGCGGTCGGATCTGATCACACTTACCCACTGCACTTTAAACCATAAAAACTTATATTTAGATACTACCTGTCCATGAAGAAGTTTGGCATTATAGGCTCAAAGTGAAATTTCCTATCCTCAAATGCAATAAAACGTAATTAGTCTATGGTTTTTTTATTTATAATCTACGTTCATTTCGTACGCCTATTTCGTGTGGCGTGTTATGGTGTTGATTTTTGGATTTTTCTAATGTTTTATTGGTGTTTAGTATAGTGTTTTACTATTAAATTATTATTATTATTATTATTTAGTGCTTTTACTTCATTACAAATATTTTATAATTGTATTTTCATAGTAAAAAATGTACTTGCCCAGCGCAGGACAGCTGCGTAATTTTCACAATTATTTCTATATATTACTCGAAATTATTTACGTAAAAAGATAAATTGTATTCACACAAAAACTTTTATAACAATTTTATAGTAAAACTCCTCCAGACCGAATTACGGCCACGGAGGCTAGCCATCGGCGCAGGACAAGATTACAGTGCCCAAATGTATGCGCAAGCACAGGTGCACTCTCTATTCCCTCACTCTCGTAATCCGATGGGACAGTAAACCGACACGACCGGGGGGCTTTACGTGCTTTCCGAGGCACGGGGGTGAGACACCGCCAACTTCCTGACTCCGGGCAGCTACTGAGAATTTCTTGACAGAAAAACTCAATAATTGATTTTTGGCCCGACCCGGAATTCGAACCCAGGACCTCATGATCAGCAATCGCACTACTACAACCACTAGACCAACGAGGCAGTAAAAAAATTAGTAATATAACATAAATAAACAGAAACATGTATTATATTGAAATTTATAACGAATTTTATAGAAAATAAATGTACGACAAATTCAAGGTTAGGTTATTTTTAGCAACGGCGCGTCACGCGGAGCGAGCGGGCGGTGTCAATCATTTTAGTTGGGGACTGAGGGATTAATATTATTGTAATTGGCTTTTATTCTGGCATTCAATAAACGGACTTGAACGAGTTAAGTATCTTTCAGTTGCTAATCCCACGACCCTAATATTACAATATTGTATGGCCGCCGTTGCAAGTTTACTGTGATGAAGTGTAAGTTGTGACCTATTAAAGTGGCGCTACTAATTCACCCAGTGAAAAGATCATCAAAAAGATAATCGGATTGATGATTGTAATTCTCGACCCTTTATACTTCTATGTTACGGTCTGGATATTTTGATTGTATAAATTTCTAAGATGGTTATCCAAATTTCAACGCTTTTTAGTGCCTTTATAAAAGCCCTGGTACAAAATAGTGTAATGGACTTACTATAAACAACTCCACAAACTGTTGTTATTTCTTTGTGCTTTACGATAAATGGAAGTTAATAAAATGAGTTCATTTTCTTTACATCATATTATTTAGGCTGGACGCCTCCTGATCCACCTCGGTGACAGCGACATCGAATACGATCCCAGCTTCCGTCTATATATGACCACGAAAATTGCCAACCCGCACTACCTGCCTGAGGTCTGCATTCAGGTTACTTTGGTCAACTTTACCGTCACCCAATCTGGCTTGGAGGACCAACTGCTCGCGTGAGATATTTAATATTTTTTGTGGTTTTATTATTATTGTAAAAGTAGTATTAAGCAGGTTTACACATATACCGTTGAACACATTGTTCCTAAATTCTGTAAGAATTTTATAGTAAGTTAAAGGCGGCGCCGGTACCCCAATACTTTTCGCCGATCTTCATATTGTCTCGGAAATATTTTTTACTTCTCATACATGGAAGTTTCCTTACGATATTTTCCTCTCTGAATAAACTCCGTTTAAATGAAACTCATTTTACGGATTTTATCGCATATAATACCCGACGTTTTAGGTGCTTTACAGCACCCATGGTCACGGAGGGAACCGAGGTGTTTGACGTTCCTATGTCATATTTAGCCCAATCTTGCAGTGATATATTTGGATTTAATTGTGTTATTTATAGAATGCAAAACAGATAGTAGTAGCACACATGCACCTTCACTATTGAAATTAGTTTTTTATTTAATTTCAGTAGTCTCGCGAATCATCTGTGAAACGAATTACAAAGTTAAAATTAAACGCGATGAAAACTGTAAAATACGTTTCATTTAATGTATTCGAGAAAATTAAATAAATCATTAAAGTGGGTTTCCCACATCCAGACTGCTACAACTCTATAACCTATTTTGATTACTTTAGAAAAATGTATTTTTATATGGCTTAATTTAGAAGTTTTTTTATAAGTTAGGGTGACAAATGGACACACAGTCCACCTGATCATAAGTAGTTGCTGTGACCCATAGACATCTACATGTCCTTCAATACGAATCAAAATGCAGATGCGTTGTCACTCGTGAGGACTAGGATGGAATGCCTCATTTTCAGCAAAACGGAACGAAACACAGTAGCATTAAGCTGTTATTTTATGCATTATTAATTTATATATTATTATTTTGTTTTTTTTATTCTGTAAGAGCGTTGTCATTCCCAGTCGAGCCTATCCAATCGTGCTACAGCTATACTATAGGTGTAAATTGCACTGTCTTAGTGTGTAACATAAGTCTATTTCATCTTGCCTTGAAGATGATATTTAGATGGAAAAACAGACACCGGAAAACTAGTCCGCTGCTTTGATGTACGCGTCACAAACGACAAAGCAAATTGTTTTATACGTGCTAGAGCCATGCCAAAGCTATATTATGATTTGTAGAACGAATGGGTCGATACAGCCGGTGAAGAACCACGCTCTCACAGAATACTAGCGTAAAATTAGAAACTTAATACAGTTGTATTTCGGTGGATGTAGTGAATCGGAGACTCTTTTTAACTGCATACGAGGAATTCCATCTTAGTCCTCAGGGTTGACTACATATCTTCATTTATTTTGATTATTAATAGAGAGTAAGTGTAGATGTTTATGGGCCGTTGTATCCCCTTAGCACCAGGTGGATTATGTGCTCGTTTGTCACTCTTATTCTTATTTAAAAAAAACACATTTGAGTTATGTGCGTGATTGGACGTAGGGACGTGGTGCGGCTGGAGCGTCCCGAGCTGGAGAAGCAGCGCACCGAGCTAATGCAGCGAATCGAGGCCGACCGCGCCTCACTCCTGGATATCGAAGACCGCATCCTGCGTCTGTTGGAGGCCTCCACCGGGAACATCCTCGACGACGAGGAACTTATCGAAACACTCAACGAGAGCAAGGTCGGCTGGTTATTTCCAGATTGAGATAACTTTGGTGTCTCATGGTTAAAATATCGATATTCTATATACATGATTTTTAGATAGTGTGACGTCGAGCAGTAGATATCACTAGTGTAAGGTTACGGCTCTGCGTTCAATACTCCGTTCACAGTGCTAAATTTGGGCGCATATAATTTGAGCAATATGTATTCGTAATGATTTCCCACTACCTATCAAATACATTCTTCCCCCTGGGGCGGTGGTGTGTTCTTGTCCCCTTTAAAAGAGTCATGCATGTAATCTCCGATAGGGTAAACAGAGTTCAAAAAGCAACGAAAATAAAAAATATTAAATTAGATGGAAAATTATGAACAATGTGATAGTCAACTTTAAGGCCATGATAAGCAAGCAACGCAGTGGGCAAACATGCTATTATCAGTTATAAGATCATTTAAATCTCCATAAATATACCATTTATTGTCTGTTATTGATACAATTATCATTAATCTGTGCAATGTGGTCGGTGAAATAATAATTTTCTGTATCGAAATTGTCGCTATACTTGCATTATTGAATTTTTATTATGTAAATTTTATTCGTGTTTTATACAGTTTCCACAGAACACAAACATTACATTAGCAATATTAATAATAGTTTTAATTAGTAAAGATATTAATAGTTACTTTGCAACCATCCGCTCAATTAAATAAAATGATGTGTCTTCCCTAGTTTGAAGTGCACCTCCCACCCTCCCTAAATTGCGTGCACTAATCTCGTCGCCACTAATCCCAGCACCACTACTCCCATGTTGACTCTACGGCGGCTGATTGCTAAGACTTACGCTTTGACTTAGCGGACAGCCGCCGTAGAGTCAACATCATCTGAAGATGCCTCTTGTAGAGGCGAAACACGTGTCGTATTATCGTCGATGGTGTGTCTTTCGTAGAATAGTGGTGTTGGGGGTAGTGGTATTGAGCTCCGAAGCTTCGCTTGTATCGCCAATTCAATACTGCCCCGATCGCGATTTGCAGGGGCTTTTATAGGCCTTTTCCACTTAAACATCCAGAATATTCCAGCAAATACCGGCCCCGACTAACCAGGTGCGAAAGTTCGAGTGTAGGGCTTCCTAGAAAGCTAAGATTTTCTATTCGATACTAGATGGCGCTGTTCATGGAAGTTCATGAATGACATTTTTTAGAAAGCTCTCCTCGCTCTGTTCTCAGAAACTAGATGGCGCTAGTGCCAGGTATCAGTTATCAAATGAGGCGAGCAACACTGTCCCCTCCCAAGGCACGTTCGTCCTGAGCATTATCGGCCCCATAAAAACGCGCCAGTCGATCCACATGGACGATCTTAGGAGTACCTCTTGCACCTTTCTGAAACGGCTCCGCAACGTCAAGGAGTGTCCTCTACCATGGAGCACCAACATTATACAATTTCAACTTTTTCTACTACGGGTCTGGGGTCCCTTCACAGCTGCACATCTTGTACGTTTGCGACACCAATCTTCAACATCGTCACGATAATGGACCCAGTAAAACCGTTCACGGAACTTCAGTAGAGTTCGTTTAACTCCCAGATGGACTCCTGAATAACCATTATGGTACAGCGATAGAACATCCGGCACTTTATCTTTAGGGACAACCATTTGCAAACGACAGCTGTCTCCCCGATAATTTTCCTATTTACGGCACAGAACTCCATCCTGAAGCAGCAAGCTGTCCCATTGGGCCCAATAGGTTTTAGTGGTCAAACTCATCGCTTAGACGTCGCTCCACTTGGGCTTGGATCCATTCCAGAATCGGCTTGATGTCCGGATCTTCCTGCTTTGCATGTTGTAATAGGTCCTTCCACTCGTTGCTGAGGTGGTCTGTCCAGAGCATCCTCACGGATACCACTTCCTTACCCTCCTGCCTAGTACTGTTCTCGCAATCATCAGGATAAGGTCTTCTTGACAATGCATCTGTGTTGCCACGCCATTTCCCGCTGCAGTGTCCGATAGCAAAGTCGTATTCCTGCTGCTGCTGGGCGGTGCTGTAAGCCACACTATTCTTTCGAGATCGATTACCTTCCCTTTTTACAGATCGCTTAGGGCAGCTGTGTCGAAGGTGGCCCCTTTCCCCACAGCCGTAGCATCTTGAGCTGTAAATTTTATTGTGCAACCTCCCTAACGTGAGAAGAACGATGATCCTGCTGCTGCTAGGCGGTGCCGTTAGCCACACTACCCACTCGAGATCGATCACCTTCCCTTTCTACAGTTCCCTTATGACAGCTGAATCGAAGATGGCCCCTTACTCCACAGCCATTGCACTTAGGGCTGTGTCCATTATTGCGGTCACGAACTGTAGCTGCTGCAACCTCCCTGACGCGATGGGAATGATGATCCTGCCGCACGGTTTCCACCTCCAGTGCATGGGCGAAGACGTCCTTAAGCGTCTTGTGGTGCCCGAGCCTCACAGCAGCTCTGACTTCAAGGTCACGGATGCCGTCAATGAATGTCTGCACCGGGTTCCCCTCAATAAGCGCAGGTACAGACCGGTATGCTTTTCGCACCAGCTTCTCCACCTCAAGACCTCTATTGCAGGTTTTCGTTGCTGGGTTGCACGCGATATTTAAGTTGCGCACGAAAGACGTGTTCCAGGTGAGCGTCGCCATATCTCGCTTCCAATGCCTCAAGGAGCTGCTCGTAAGTCACTTTCTTACCGAGAGCTTCCAACACAGGTAAGGCTTGGTCTCGCAGGCCTAGGGTGAGTGCAGTGATGGCCTGACTTTTATTCCAGCCGTTCACCTCCATGGCAGCCTTGAACTGGGTTTTGTAGGCTGACCAGGAAGAAGTCCCGTCGAACGGCGGTACTTTGAACCCACGTAGCGAAGGTGTTGCAGCTACCACGGGAGCTGTTATTCCATTCCCAAGTTTAAGGTCGTCCAGCGTTTTCTTCACGTTAGCCATCAAGTTGTCAACCAGATTGTTCACTTGGTCGATTCGGGTTTCAGCTCTGAACAGGCGGTTGTCTTGTTAAGCAACCCTATCCTTCACCTCCTTTAACTCCTTCCCGAAGGTAGCGTGAAGGTTCTTCATGATGAGCATCTGCTCTTCCAACCGACGGGCCTGTTCCGCCTGCTGACGGGCCTGTTCCTCCTGTCGACGGGCCTGCTCCTCCTGTCGGTGGGCCTATTCCTCCTGCTGCTCTTTCAACTAACGGGCCTGTTCCTCTTGTCCGCCTCGAAGCTCCTCTTCCAATCGGCGTGCCTGTTCTGCCTGCTGGTGGACCTGTTTCTCCTGTCGACGGACCTGCTCCTCTTGTCGGCGGGCCTGTTCCTCCGGCTGCTCTTTTAACCAACGGGCCTGTTCCTCCTGCCGCTCTTTCAACCAACGGGCCTGTTCCTCATGTCGGCGGGCCTGTTCCTCCTGTCGGCGAGCCTGTTCCTGCATCATCATCATGAGAGGACTTAACTCAGGTGCTGCAGGTATAGGAGCTGCTGATGGGCCAACCTCCGTGGCTGGCAGCCCCCTGACGTCTGCGGCGTTGCACCACCAAATCTTCTCTGGTCCGTCTCCTACTTCGTTGACGTTCGTTGACTTCGGATACGGACACCCTCCGTGTCGTCCTTCGGTAAAATCGGCATGATGTGATTCCACTTCTGACACCAATTGTTACGAGCTTAGGGTTCGTGACTTTAAAACTGCTGATTGAATTACCAAAATTGACACTTTAATTACTGAACACCAATTAAAACTTAAATCACACTAATAATTATTCACACTTATCGTTTTAGTTCACTTTATTTCACTCCGAAAGCTTCGCTCGTGTCGCCAATTCAATGCTGCCCCGATCACGGCTTGCAAGGGCTCTTTATAGGCCTTTTCCATTGAAACATCCAGAATATTCCAGCAAATACCGGCCCAACCGACCAGGTGCAGAAAGTTCGAGTGTGGAGCTTTCCAGAAAACTTAGTTCTTCTATTCGATACTAGATGGCACTGTTGGTGGAAAGTTCAGGAATGGTATTTTCTAGAATGCCCTCCTAGCTCTGTTCCCGACACTAGATGGCGCTAGTGCCAGATACCAGTCGTCAACTTATACGGAGGTCATACGCAACGGTATAAATGTTACTGGTTTTCAGAAAAAAAAAGTAATGTGTTGTACGTGCGGTGTGCGCAGGAGACGTCGGAGATCATCAGCGCGCGGCTGCACGACACGGAGGCGACGGAGCGCGACATCGCCGCGGCGCGCGAGCGGTACCGCGGCGCGGCGGCACGCGGCGCACTGCTCTACTTCGCAATCGCGCAGCTCGCTGACCTCGACCCCATGTACCAGTTCTCGCTCGCCTACTTCAGCCAGGTGAGAACAACTACATCTATTCTATACAAATAAATAAAATTCAAGTGTCTGTTTACCGTAACAGTCTATTAAAATTAACTACTGAACATAGGTTTATATATTACCTTTTAAACCTATCACCTAAAACACCCACAGGATGATACGGCGCAGTGAATTACACCGCCACTGCACTGATCAAAAAATCAGCCTTTTAAAAATAAACTTTATTGGCAACAAATGTATGCAATAACAGTAAGCTTAAATAACGTTCAAGAAAAATGACAAATATTTTCTATTGCACTCTAAACTAGAAAAATCAAAAGATTTTAAAGAGAAAGATTTACTAAACGCATAAATGAAAGTGTATACGGTACTTTTAAAATAAAAACACATGTTTATTTGCTTCGACTAATCGCCGAAACGGTTGTACAAATTTTGACGAGACTGATGTTCCGAGCAAAAAAATTAAATTCAATCAAATCCAATCGTAAACTCCACGCAGTCAAAGTCGCGGGAAACAGACACATACATATATATATGCAACGTACAATTGTTAAGTCATCATTTCACAACATGACCTCTTTTACATATCCGCGGCACGTGTATTTTAAAATCAATATATAAATCATCGCATAAAGCTATCAAGAGCGCGTTTATCATCCCCTTAGTGTCGGTATTACCCCGAACATCATCATCATCATCTTTACAGCCATTCACAAGTCCACTGCTGAACATAGGCCTCCCCCAAGTTATGCCATAAAACACGGTCCTGAGCCACCTGCATCCATCGACTTCCTGCATGTCTTACCAGGTCGTCACTCCATCTAGTCGGGGGTCGCCCTACACTTCGCCTACCGGTACGAGGCTGCCACTCGAGAACCCTTCTTCCCCAACGGTTGTCGGATCTTCGAGCTATATGGCCCGAACATATATATAACTAAACAATAAGTGGGTACAAATTAACTACTTACTTACATATATATATATATATATATATATATATATATATATATATATATATATATATTAATATATATATATATATATATATATATATATAATAAGTAGTTAATTTGTACCAGTTCTGGCTCAGTGAGCCAGAACCGACATCAATGCATCATGTACAGATTAATTAACTAATATATAATTGATATCCGATGGACCTCCACTCTCATTAGCGTTCTACTGTTGTTCAACCTATTCTCTTATCTATTGTTCCTTGAACACCGTTATTGCCGCTCTTATCTATACTAGTTGTACACCCTGCTTATCGGTGCTATAGTATTATACTTTTTTGTATATAACTAGCACGCACTACAAAATCTTAGTATATCAATGTGTACGGGCTACAATTAGCGACTCGTGCCGCTTCTTTGATAGTTAAGTTAGTGTATATTTATGTAGTTCAAAGTTAATTTAAGACAATAGTATGTCAGTATGGCTGGTGTATAAAGTAAGTGCATGAACTGTTACTTTATCAGTTTATTACACACACTGAGTTGGAAAATGGCGTATTTTAAGTAAGTACCCGGATCACCAAGCTTTGCTCGGTTTTTTTTACATAAACATAACATAATACATAAACAGTCACGCCTGTCACCCAGAGGGGTAGGCAGAGACTACAGACTTCCATTTGGCACGATCCTGACACACCTCTCTCGCCTCCTTCACATCCATACACCTACGCATACATGCTCGTCGGTTAAGGGTACTCCTAATTTGGCCCGTTTTCAATAAATCGCCAATTTGGTCGATAAATTTTCGCCTAGGACGTCCCTTTCCGACTCTGCCATTCACTTCTGCAACATAAATTTTCTTTGTCACTCTTTCCTCATTCATTCTTTCCACATGACCAAACCACCGAAGCATTCCTTTCTTAATCCTGGTCACAACATCATCTTGCAAACCACACTCTTCTCTTATTACACAATTTCTTACCCTGTCGTTCAGATTCAGCCCTAACATACTCCTTAAGGACCGCATTTCTACTGCGTTGATTCTCTCTCTCTCTCTCGTGCTTCTTCTGCCACACCCAACTTTCACTACCATACGTTAAAGTAGGGACCAACACAGCACTGTGAATTGCCATACGTGACTTTTTTTGACACATTTTGACTCTTCACAATAGAGTGCAGGACCCCATTTACTCTATTTCCCGCATTCATTCGTCGTTCTATATCCTTATCATATCTCCCATCCCTGCTAAATACGCAGCCCAAATATACAAACTCATCTACTTGCTCGATCAACTCCCCTTCTATTCTTATTTCACAAATCGTTTTACTTTCTTCTCTTTCAAAAACCATAACCTTCGTCTTACTTGCGTTCACTTTCATACCCCTTTCTTTTAATGATCTGTTCATTAATGTAACCATCATTTGCAACTCGGCCGCCGACGATGCAAGGATAACTTGATCATCGGCGTACAAAAGGCATTTGACGGTTAACTCACCCATTCTTAATCCGCATTCTTCAACTTTCAAATTTTGCAAACAACTGTCCATAAATAGGTTGAACAGCCACGGGGAAGCCACACAGCCCTGTCTGACACCTTTATGGATGTCAAACCAGTCCGAGTAGACCCCGTTGATCCTAACACAAGCACTAGAGTCCCTATAAAGAGACTCCAATGTTTTTTTAAGTTACATTTATATACAAATTACATGAATAATAGTTTTTGATCTTATTGACATAATAGAAAAAACTGAACTGGTTATTTGAATAAAAAAATCATGAGTGCAATTAGTTTGTATTTTTAAAAAATACTAAAAGAAGGGCTCGAAATAATAGATTTTCTCACAAAAGAAGGGAACTTGAAAAAAAAAGGAAAAAGGCGGACCCAAGACGGGACGCGAACCACAGAATTTCGACATCACGCCCGAACAACATCCCATCAGAGCTATTACGATCGTTGGTAATTTGTCAAAATTTACCTTCTTATATTGTAGCAGTTTTTTTATTGCCTGAAAACACGGACAAAAGGACATTTTCTAAAAATAAATTCTAGCTAGATCGATTTATTGCCCCCGAAACTCCCTGGACACTAAATTTTATGAAAATCGTTGGAGCCGTTTCCGATATCCCGATTATATATATATACAAGAATTACTCGTTTAAAGGTATAGGATACGCAGCGCGGCGGTTCAAACTATCGTCATCATCAGACTGCGGCAGTCCACTGCTGGACATAGGGCTCTCCCAAGGCGCGCCCTTAGCGTATTCTTCGGCTACACGCATCCAGTTTCTACCAGCCACCTTGCGCAGGTCGTCGCTCCATCTGGTCGGGGGGGCGTCTCACACTACGTTTGCCTAGACGCGGTCTCCACTCCATAACACGTCTATGAATTATGCAAGTGTAAAATAATGTATGCTAATTGGACCGTTCATACTTTTTTCTGGACGTGGATAACTGCTAAGAAATTTGTAAAATTCAATCCCTAAAGAATTGAAATAGGGTGTTTACAGGTTGTTATATCATATCAATATATTAATACAACTACCATCACAACTCACAAATATTATTCTAAAAAAACTAAATAATTATCACATTATAGATTTTAAAGTCGGGTCATCTAATTATTACGGTACATCATTCTTCGTTGTACACTGATTTCTATCGGTTTTAGCACTGACTTTAGAAGTTATTATACGGAAGTATTTTTGTTTAGTTTTTATATACCAGTTGTTACAAAACTACCCGTAAAGCCGAAAGGAAGTTAAATGGGGCCTTATAATGAGTCCATTCACAATATTTAAGAACCGTAGTCACGCTGTATAACATACCCCAAAAAAAAAATTTAAAAAAATATTATTTTCACTGATGTGCAAACCCTATTTCAGTAAAATTAAAGAGTAAACTACGCAGAATTTACCTACGTTTATACCTAATTCGCGGAACGACAAAAATTTTAAAAGACCTAACCTAACGAAACAATCTAAACGAACACTTACTTTTTCATAATAAACGTCAAATTTACAGAAACGGCTCAAATGTGCTCTGCCTTGCTCAATACACAACCTTGCTCGTCGGAATGTGGCTTGTATGGCATTTCGCACCATCGTCGATGTATTGATGCGAAAACCGATCTAACACGCTTCTCAATCTCGGCAACTGTTGGTCAATCGGAGAAATACACTCTGTCCTTCACATAACTCCACAAAAAGAAGTCCAAGGTGTGAGGTCCGGAGAACGATCAGGCCATAGCACCGATACTCCGCGGCCGATACATCCTAGCGGAAAGCGAACGTTAAGATGTTCTCATACGTGGCGAGAAAAATGTGCCGGAGCTCCATTATGCTGAAACACCATTTTTCTTTGGTTCTCAAAGTAATCCCAGTCAGTCACAGGAAAGTCGTTAATCGCACGTGTTCACGTCGTTCAGACGTGATGGCATAATGACGGGACCGATGGCATGCCCGTCATAAAAGCCAGCCTACGCATTCAGCCGCCACTGGTGTTGAAATTTGCCCTGCCGTGAAGCATGTGGATTCACGCGAGCCCAAACGTGATAGTTATGCATATTTGAAAGTGCTGACCTCGTGAATGTTGCCTCGTCCGTCCAAAGAACATAGTTTACTTAATTAGAGTTTTCTCCAGAAGTTCCTCCTGGGTGCAAAATCGGAGCTTATCAACTCTTGTATACGGCGATAGTGATAAGGGTGACGATTGTCGTCACGAAGAATCTTGTTCCGGCTCTTCTTCAAAACTTACACAACACTAATTAAGTGCCGCCGAGCCGGTGGAGTGTAGTCGTCATGACAATTTCAAAAAACACTGGGACGAAGGCAGCCGTCGCTGTTCAGTGGGGTGTCCACCATCGATAAACCGTTGCCGATACAGTTCGCGAGCACGATTTAAATTGCTAGCTTCAAGGCCTACGCATAACATCATATCATAATATCCCGGGTTAGAAAGCATCGTTATTTTGCAAAAAATGTTGGAAAAAAATCTCGAAACAGTTGTAGGATATCGATTAGAAGATTTGAAATTGACAACATAGTTTTTTTTTACAACTTGAAATTTTTGAAGACAGTACTTGAGTATAATGACATCCTTGTATTGAGGTAGCAAACATTTATGAATGAAAAATATAAAAACTATTAAAGTGGACAATTATTAGGTAAAATAGGTACGTAGGCCTATCTGTTAAATAATCTGGGTTCCTGACATGACAGCTTACTAGGTTGACAAAATTTTTGGCTTTGATAATTAATTATATTTTTACGGGGTATTTTGTAACACGTTGTAAATAGAACTTAAGAAATTGTTTGAGAATGGCAGATGGGCTGATTCGAATCGGGGAATTACCACGAACTCACGGAATACCAATGTGTATTAGGCTTTGCGTCTGGTAAGTGCAGGTGGCTGGAGGCCCAACTTCGTTCCCCTTAATCAAAGATTACCAAAGAAGGCACACCTAATAATAGAGAATGCCCTTGAGCATCAACGTTTAAACTACTCCACTTATCCTGACTATGAGTCAAATGACGTCCTTTGCAGGTCGAGTGACCTATTCGGCCACTTTTTAGTGAAAAGGATCTCGCATGTGTGGAACACCCGTAAAGTACGTGTGGAGGAGTGTATTGTGGTGTATCGTAAGAGTTGTCTGACGCTTGTGGTGGTCAAACAGGTGTTCAACCGCGTGGTGGAGACGACGCCTGCGCAGGCAAGCGTGGAGGCTCGCGTGGCGTCGCTGGTGCACGGCGCTACACTCGCAACGCAGCGCGGCGTCGCGCGAGCACTCTTCGCGCGTCACCGCCTCGCGCTGGCGCTGCTGCTGGCCGCCGCGGTCGCGCTGCACTCCGCCACGCTGCCACAGCACCACTGGCGCTTCCTGCTGCTGCCGCCGCCGCCCGTCACGGTAAGCACACACACGCTTCACCTATCACCCTTACCTTAATCTTATGGTGTAAAATTGTACAATTAAGTAATAGTAACTAGACATTCAAAATGCATATGAAAGCTAGATAACCTCATCACCTGTAAATAAAAATATGAAGATTTAGTTAAAATTTTAAGAAGTCTTGCTCGCATTTATATATCAAATTACGGAAACGCGCAACCTTCTCGGTCTTTGAAATAAAAGTAAATATACTCTCGTCTAAAAAATCATTTATGCAGTGTAATTAGTACGTAGGTGGAGCAAAAAGCCACCCCTACCTTATACACACATGTTTACCTACGTGGTTTAATTTAATAATAATAATAATGACGTGCTCCATTATTAGTCGATTAGGACCATAATACGTGGTCCTAATTGGCAACGATCGTACAAGCAAACGATGCGATTTCGTCGCACGACGAGATTAAACACCCACATTTATTTAGAGTGTCCTAATTGAAGCTTCAAACTGATAGCACGAGCACAAGAAGTACTTAATAACGAACGTACGATAGGTTTAATCGTACGATTATACAGTCAAAGCTACAAATCTCTTTTGAGTGTCTAATTGGTGGCGCAAGCACAGCAACACAAGGTCACCTATGTGTCGAGTTAGAAACGAGTAGAGATCTAAGAGATCTAAGAAAGCTCTTAGGTCACCTGTTGGACCATCTCACGAAGATTTTCAGCGAGCGATGAAATCGCATATTTTGATCGTACTATCGATAACCAATCGGCGACGCCTAAGAGAATTTAAAAAAATGTATTAACGTTTGCTTCCAAGTATATTTATGAAAATTTTATGTACTTCTTTTATTTAAAATAGTTAAAAATAAATGGTTATTCTGTAAATGCTATACTCAACCAAATATAGGTATGTGCGCTCATCGTAACTTGACGCGTAATCTGATTGGAAGCACTGTAATGTACAGTGTTTCATGTTTCAATACGAATGGCGTTTCCGAAATGTAGGGACAGGAATTATGTACGTAACGGGATATAAAAGCATGTATACATGCATCTTAAGCATGAGGTTGCGGGTCCAAACCAAGCATGTACAGACGAACGCACTTAGCGCTTACAGTTAAACCATAAAAACATCTTATTTCGTATAAGTAAGGGCATTAATTTCGTAATTCTAATGTTACTACTCAAGTACTGATGACTACACTTATGTGACTTTTTAAGTGTTATAGAGTACTCTCTGTACTCTCATATATCAATAGGAACATTCAGGATAAAATAATTAAATCAGGGTTAAAAATAATCACTTTATATAATTATGATCAATAAGTGAAGCAACATACACGCCACTATAATAATCCTTTTCAAGTCCCATTTCCTATTAATATAACGCTTTTACTTATTGAGACCTTCCACATATTTGCTTTATTTCGTAGACCTTACTATTTTATATCCTATACCTTTAAACGAGCAATTCTTGTATATATATATAACAAAAAGACATTTTCTAAAAATAAATCCTAGCTAGATCGATTTATTGCCCCCGTAACTCCCTGCACACAAAATTTTATGAAAATCGTTGGAGCCGTTTCCGAGATTCAGATTATATATATAACGATTTTCATATAATTTTGTGTGCAGGGAGTTTCGGGGGCAATAAATCGATCTAGCTAGGATTTATTTTTAGAAAATGTCTTTTTGTCCGTGTTTTTAGGCAATGAAAAACTACTACAATATCGTTAGAATAAGAAAGTAAATTTCGACAGTTTATTAATAATTACAAATAGCTTAATTGGTATATTGGGCGGTCACAAAATTGTAATACTATGGTTCGAGCCCTGACCGGCCGACCGACTTTTTTTAATTTTTTTTTTCAATTTCCTTTCTTTTTTGAGAAAATCTATTTTTTCGAGCCCTTTTTGCAGTATTTTTTAAAAACACGAAAATTTAAATTAAACTAATTGCACTAATGATTTTTCATTCAAATAACCAGTTCAGTTATTTCTATTATGTCGCTAAGAACAAAAAATATATCTAAATATAGTTTCCAAAACACACGAATTTAAAAAAAAACCGAGCGAAAAATACCGAGCAAAGCTCGGTCAACCGGGTACTCTTTAATATATAGGACTTCAGTCCATAACTCTTCTATAATAATCCTTGTACGTCATAGAGACCTTCTAAAGTAGTGCTTTAGTATAATAGACCTTACTATCATAAGTCCCTAATATAGGACTAGTCATGGTTATGTACGGCCTTGGGTATGCATCTCCGGCAGCTCCTTCATACAAGCTATCTTTACACGAACACCCTTCATAACTTAGGAAAATTTTCTTTTATACACGAACTCCTTCCATGACTTAATTTTTAACCAATTTTCCAATTATTTTATAAATGTTATTTATGTTTATTTTATAATATTTTCGACTTGTATTTCTATTATTTATCACATTTTGAATATTTTTACAAGTTTTTTAATAAATTTATTTATTCTAAAAGACAATATTTTGCCTTTAACTTATTATAATACTTAATGTCTGAAATTTATTTATTTTAACTTTATGCTTATTAATGTAATTTTATTGTTTAATGTATATCTTTTAAGATTATTTTTGATGCCCCTTTATATAGAAATTAATTATTAATTAATAGTAATAATGATAGGCCGTCACACTATGCAAAAAGTTTGATAAATTTGTTTTTGTTTTATATCGCTTAAGACAAGTGGCTAACATGGAGGCCGCACTCTCTGCCTTTCATGGATGTGTATCTTCGATCCTACGTTACGGCGTAATAATATGGGGTAATTCTGTCGATTTCACTAGAGCTTATCACAGACAGAAAAAATGTGCAAGGTCTTTATCCGGAGCACATCAACGATATAGTTGTATTCCCCTTTTTCGCAAGCATAAAATATTACCGCTTCCAGCATTATACGTTTACGAAATCTGTGTCTTTGTTCACAAAAATAGTAATTTATTTGAAAAACACAGCGATGTTACTACTACATAAATTGTGTGTACCAAAGCAAAGCCTGTTTGTTTCAAAAATATGAATATAGAAGGATCTTTAAAAATAATAAACTTTAAAAAATTATGGTTTGTTCATGTGGAAAGAATGAATGAGGAAAGAGTGACAAAGAAAATTTATGTTGCAGAAGTGAATGGCAGAGTCGGAAAAGGACGTCCTAGGCGAAAATTTATCGACCAAATAGGCGATTTATTGAAAACGGGCCAAATTAGGAGTACCCTTAACCGACGAGCATGTATGCGTAGGTGTATGGATGTGAAGAAGGCGAGAGAGGTGTGTCAGGATCGTGCCAAATGGAAGTCTGTAGTTTCTGCCTACCCCTCTGGGTGACAGGCGTGAGTGTTTATGTATGTATGTATTTAAAAGTAAATTATTTCGATTTCTTTTAAATAAATGTTGTTACTCAGTAAATGACTTCTTAAATGATAAATTTGACTCGAATTGTAATTCTTGAATTGCTGAATTCATTGACATGTTTTAACTAAAAATATTATGAATTGATTGATGTTCTTGTTTTATATAGATTTAGTTTCCCTAAGTATTGCTATAACTATCTTTATATTAAATAAGAATTAATTCCTTAATTTTCTACAATATCGTAAAATAATCTATCTGAAAATATTTGTACGCCGGAAACGGCAGAATATTAGGGCCCCGTGCGCGAAAACAACTCATTTCGGACAAATCTGATCACTGTTTGTGTGAACAGGAACACGAATTTTTACTTTTTTTGTTTTTATTATAATAGTCTAGTTCTTAATCTAATATCTGGCTTGAAGGGATGTATCATATTATCTATATAACAATGGCAAATCACCAATATTCACAACCCTTTTTCCGAAAAGTAACGATCAAGTGATTTTTGTCTTCGTTTTACAACGAAACTACAAAATATTTTAAACATTAAAAAAATAAATAACATAAATATACGGTCTACTTGTTTGTAGCCAGATCAGTTTTTTAATTTCTATCCAAATATAGCAGAAAAAACTTGTTGAAATAACGTAATTTCCAGAAAACTTCGTTCGAAATAAGTATTTTTTCTATTACATAGAAACACTTTTAATTAATATAAAAAATTACACATTAATCTTAAGATAACCCTTTATTGGAAACTAAATTTTATTTCATAAATAAATAATGATTTCGTTTATTACTAAATGGCAAAGTGAACTATATTATCGACCGCGCAAAATCGATCCGATCAGTGACGACCGGGCCTTCCCAGAGCGAGGACGTATCACTTTGCATCGCAGGCGCTCCCGTGTTTTACGTAAACATTTCCAGAAATTGTACGCTGACCACCAAATTTTGATCAGGGTAAGTTTTTTTTTTTTTTTTTTTTTGGATAGTTTGTTTATTAAGAATAATAATATGTTGCACGCCTAGTCTTTATATAAAAAGTTCAGGTGTGCGTGTTCGTAATACTTGTTATCCTAAACGGCTATACCAATTATGATGATTTTTTTCTTCGTATGTGATCACCTGGGTGGTTCTTAGTACCTAATAGTTAGACCCGGCTGCTGTCTCAGTACGTCTGCTATGTTCATTGATATTTTATTGTTGATTTAGTTTTTTTAATGATTAGACCCTTTCAGATACCATTCATAAATGTTGTCTACTGTTGCATTTCATTATGTCCGCGTGAAATAATGCAAAAATATCACCCGCGGCTGCATCGATTTGGATCAAAATTAAGATACCTAAATTGTGATCTATGGCAGGGTGACGAACCTATAAAGATCAACGTGCCATTCTTTGTAAATAAATGTTTAAAGCGGCCATAGATGTGCCATCCAATAATTATTTTTTATTTTAACCGATATTGGACATAGATTTAAACTAAATAGGTCGAATGTTTTATCGAAAATACAAGTATCCTTTAGCATGTTCGGCTTATTTTTGCCAAAATGTTTACTTTGTATCCCTCATGGATAAAAATAAATTCAAAACATCGTTCATAAAATGAACGAGTATTATCAATT